TATTCTTTCTCTTATGTTTTTCTTGTTTCAGTGCAAGTAACTCCAAACTACTGAAAAAGTAATTTTGAAATCTTTCAAAACCAGCTCTAGATTCAGAGTACCTGTGTTCTTAGGTCACTTGCAGTTAAATTGTAAAAAATATGCAAACATGAAAGTTCAGATAAAATTTTCAAAATGTTTTCCTTAAGTGGGTACAAACATTTAGGCTCCTATCTCTTCTTCAGTCTCTCTGGATTGAAAAGAATAAACAAAAACTTGGAAACTAGTCTGGAAACTAGTGGATTTTTAAGTATACTTCTAATTGCTAGTCAGCAAGGCTAGGATTCAAACTTACTACATTATCCCTCTTAAAAATCTTATAAATTATACACATATGCTTTTGGTAAATATATGTGTGAATATAAAGGCAAGGATATACATCTCTGTGTGTATATGTATGTATAAAGCAGAATATTTTTCTGGAACTAGATTTTCTGTATTTCTCTTTTACCCAGTGAAGGAAGGATTTTTCTTTTTTTTTCTTTCATTATTGTCATAAGATCCCACTTTATACTTGTAGTAATTGGTATCTGCCCTTCTGCTGCTCTTTAGTATTTGAGATTTGTTGAATAAGCTGTAGAAGTCAGATCAGAAAGCATTTCTGGTTACTGGGTTTGCAACAATAAAATATGAAGATACAATGGCTGGCCATTGGAATCCTCTCTTTTCTGCTCTAAAAGGGCTGCAGATGAGGGCTGCATTTTAAATTTGATTGACATGGGGTGGTGTTTGTGTTTTGACAGTTATGAAAATGTGCAGCTGTTCATAAAGAAATAGAAATTGAAATCTGTGGTCTTAGGAAATTAACCTGATCTTACTATTTATTCCATCTGTTCCCATGCTTTCACAGTATCCATTTTTCTTTCAGCAGACCTTTTTTTACTCTTTAGTTTTGCCTTTTGTATGCTGATAATACATATATGTATAAGAATAAGTAATTCATACAAAAGTGACAATCAAAAATCATATTCTTGGAAAAAAATTCTTCAGTGTATTTAAAAGTGATATCTAAGAAAATTGTCTTAAAATTAAAACCATTTTCCATTATAAATTTTTTATAGCTTATTATGAAACCCCTGAAGAGGAGCAACAGAGGTCAACTGTAAAACATCAAGCTAGAATAAGACCTATTTAATTTAAAATTTCAATACATGCCTGTAATTGTAGGGTGTTGCCTTTTGTTGAAATTACCTTAGCTTAGCTGACATGGTTTCACTGCGTAAGAGGGCATTATTGTAGAAATCTGAAGCATGAAGTAGAGAGCAAAATGCATTCTCCTGTGCTCCTAAGCAAACATTTTAATCACAGGATATACTATTTGTTTTAAATACTTCCTTGACATGTTGCCCTGTTAAATTCAGTACTGAGTGAAATATAATAGAGTATGTGGATTTAATTCCAAATAGTTTTGCAAAAGACAGCATGCAATTAATTCAGAGTTTGTATAAAATTTTCTTATCCCTAGTATAGGAACCTGTTACAAATAAATATGTCTTGCCCTCTGTGCTTTAAGTATGTGGCCTAACAGTAAGCGAACAGACAATGTAATGTAATTTTTAGTCTGACAAGCACGTATATTTTTGTTACAGCTGAGTGTTCATGTAGTTAATTTTACTTTTTTGTTTTGTCCCCCCCAGTGTAACCATGTTCATTGAGGGAAGTATAGGTTTTTCCCCTACTAATCTGTTTTTATCGTTAAGTTTTGTACTCCAAATTCTGCAACCTGCCTTTCAGACCTTCCTTACACTATTATTATTGACCTACTAGAGTCAACAGATGTCATTTACCTCCTCCCAGTTGTTTTCTTGTTAACCTAAACAATGTAAAATGAAAATTACAGTGTTTTCTAAAATCTCAGGCACATCATTGTAAAGTCTCAACTCTTGCCAGTTTTTACACAGCTCTTAATCAGGAGTTACAGAATTATTCTTGTGAACAGATCTCTTCATGTGCATTTTCAATACTGCCATGTAGGTCTTTCTGAGAAGTGTATGTAAAATGTATTAGCACTTTATATAAGTAGCACTCATTGAAAACTTTACCAAATCTAAATAAATTTATGGCCATTTTTTTATCCAGAAAGTCAGTTTATTAGTGAAGGAAATTAATTAGATATATTATGCACACCTCATATCATTTAACTAAAGAGAAGTTTACTTGTAGACAGGAACATATTTTTTATAAGCACAGTATTTAAGGTCTGTATTTGGATGAGTGGCTTGAATAAGTGCTGCTAGTTTTTTATGAGCAATTTGCTCATCTGATTTGACCTACGGTTACACAATACTGTTTACATGGACTGGTAAGAAAGTTTGTAGGAGAGCATGTGTGTAGTTTTGTGCTTTCTTCAAAAAAAAAATCTCCTATTCAGAAGGATTCCAAGGAAACTGAGGAAGAGGGCAGAAACAGTATTTCTGATATTTTAAATAAAGTTATCAGCCTGTTTAATAAGCAGTAAGTAACAGAAATCCACTAGATGGATTTGCTGGATATTTACAGTAAAATTTCTTCTATTTATTTCATGAGTTTTAAAAAGAAATAGAAGAAATAGATGCTAGAGTTTTAAATCCTCCTGTGTGAAATTGTAGTACAAATTCTGGTTTGACAAGTCTTTCTTCTGACTGTCCTTACACCCTGGGCCAGCTTCCATCTAGTTTTGTTTGCGAGATCGGTCATCAGACTTGATATAACACTGAGGATCACACTGGAATGTTTTTGGTCACAAACCATGAAGGAAATGCTAAGTGGTTGAGAAATAATACATCAGTAGAGTATATTTTGAAGTAATATAGTTCTAAATGCCTGTTACAACTGAGGTCTTAGTTGTGATAGGATATAAATCAGATTCTTATGGAGTCTAAGTTGACCTGGAGTCACATTCATCATTCTGACATCCTCTGACACCACTTCTGATGATGTAGATTGCTAATGGTTCTTCTTTCCCCTGACATGGATCTTAGTAGCATGGCTTCATTCAACAATACATAAGATATTTACAAAATATGCAGTCCCAAAAAAGTGTTCTACAAAACATTGTATAAATTTTATAAAAATCTGTAATGTGAGATGTTCCCTCTCTCTTTCATTAAATACCTGTCATGTACTTGTACACTGAGCTGTTCTGGTACCAATCCAGATTTTCTGTATGATTGTTAATTGACTTGACCTTTTGCTGCATTTTACAAGAGGATGTAATGATACAAACTTGTTCAGAATTGACAATGCTGCAACACAGTTGTTAACCAAAATGTTGCTAAAACTCTAGATTCCTTTTTTTTTTACCTTTTTCTCACTAATCCCATTGAGTGCAGCAGAATGTTCATCAACAGTAAATTAAGACTACTTTCTCGAAAAAGAACAGTACCAAGCTAGCTGGTTTTAGGCAGAGCACTTTTTTTGGCAGAATTACTCTTGCATGGTGGAGTTGCAACTTGGTTGCCACAGGGGTGGTAGAGGTACAACCAGCTGGAGTTCACATTTGGTGAACTAAGTTTGCAGTACAGCTCACGACGTGTCTACAAAGCAATTTTTCTGTGGTGTTCTGGCACGGAACTTACTCTTAAATTATTTTCACCTTGCTTTTCATTGCTGTTCACCCCCTACATTGACTGTGTATCTTCACTTGTGTCGTGTTAGGTACTAGTCAGGATATACATAAAATATTTCATATATTTTGTTACTGATTGAATAAACTCTTACACTTCTCTTAATAGAATTTTAAAGGCAGTTTTGTTTTCCTAATATCTATTCTACGTATGATGGTGCTTTAAGCTGATGTGTGTGTCCATTACAGGAACACAGCAGTCACGGAAACCATGGGGAATAGTTATCATTGGGAAAAGAGAATTTATGTAGATGTAAGTGGCTTACTCTGAAGGTCATAATTAGTGAGTTTTGTGATTAAAATTTTGTCAACCTTTAAAAAAATGTCTTGAGGCAGTGACTCATTCTATATAGCATTTACCTCTTTGACATACAAGCCTGTTAAGAGCAGGTGCAAAAATGTTTTTAGAAGGCGCTTGAGTCCTGCTTTTGAGAAAAGATGAGGCAAGAGGTGACTTCAAAGGGAAATCCCCTGAGAATATGTCTAAAGTAAGCAAATGTATATATTAAAATATTAGAACTGTAGCACAGTATGTTGCAAGGCCTACTTCTCCTTTTTCCAGGTCTGATTTGGTTTCAATAGTTTAGTTTAAGTTCATTATTGTTGTCTGTGTATCAGGATTACACACTTATCTGAAAGCAAGGTGTTGCACACACTAGAGTTCTGTTAAGCTCCTTAAACTGCCCTTGAAGTCAGCCGGGATGCTGATAAACTCAGAAAATTGGGTCTTTGGCAAATGTTGTAATAATAATAAAGATAAAAGTAAGCTAATGTGAAAATTAAGACATTTTTCTCCCCACATATTGCTTAAATTTCTTTCCCTATTCTTTGATGTTGTGAATGAACCAGAAAATACACAAAAATGTGCCAAGTGGTTTTGTATGCCCTGATTATATAACTCACTCACAAGCATACTTTTAAGGCTAGTAATTTTGTATTATTTCTTTTGCATTGATTGTAAAATATATATAATTATTAAATGTTAGTAGTAATGTTGAGTAAACTTCATTTTTGTTTATCCTTTGTTTTAATTAGTTTATAAAAATCTTTTATGAAACATTATACTTCCTTGCACAGCCTTGTTTTTGAAAATCTGAAGTAGGTGCACCTGCTTCTTGCCTTCGTGATTATGGTTACATTTGTTTGCCTATTTAAAACATTTTACAACATGTCACAAAGTATGAGAAAAAGTTTCCTATTTTCTCATCTTTCACATCTTTCATCTGGAGAAGAAAAAGATAGATAGGCAAAATGGACTTTATGACATACACTAGTGAGAAATACCTTGTTTAATGTAGGCAAATCACTAACTGATCATTATAACAAACACACTTAACAAAATTAATTGTGTTTCTAGGTTCCATGGTTCCTTTCTCCATGCGGATTCTACATGCTGAACTTCCTCAGTACCTTGGTAATCCTCAAGAATCACTTGACAGACTTCATAGTATGAAGATAATCTGCGCCAAGGTAACAGCATCTCTATGCGCTAACATTTCTTAATGTTTAAGAAATAAATTTTGTTGTCCTTAAAAAGAACATTAAGTTTCAATGATGACTTGTTTTACTCCCATCTTGATGCAAATATGGAGCTCGCTATTAAAAGTAATGAAGTGCCTCTTTCCTTTTAGGAGACATCCTTCTCTACTCTGTGGTAGCTCTGACTCAAATGAGTAGAACAGGGGACAACTTTTGTGCTTTTGCCAGACAAGATGTGGAGGACAGTGAGCAGATGTGTTAAAGGGCGAGTAGAGGAGATTTCTTTCCTTCACTCAGCTGCATCCAGCTGAAAACAGTTGTTAGTGACCTTGATCCTTTGGAAATAGTCTTGATTTTTCAGAAATCGCCCAAATAGCTGGATTTGGAAACAACAGTCATTTGGGAATATAAGTACAACCAGCTGAGTTTGTTTTGGGGGGTTTGGTTTGGTTTGTCAAGTAGTATAATACAAAATTATGGCCCGAATTATAACATGGGATTTGTTGGTGCTGGAATTGGAGTCATGGGGTTGTGAGCACTAACTTTTTCCTCTAAAACCAACATGCTGACAGTAAGCATTTGTCCTTAAATGTTTTTTACATCTTTTCCGGGCAGTCTAATGCACCAGTGATTATGAATTGTTACCATGTGATAAAGTCTAGAGGAAATGCAACATTATTGCTTTATCTGTGACACTTGAAAGTTCAAAACTATATAAGATAAATACATGCAATTTATTTTCAGTATTCCATGGAAGTTTCCTATATTTACTCCTTAAATAACTTGGATAAGAGAAGTGAAGGGAAATGAAAATTGCCAATTATGTAGTTATATGGCCTTACATATATGAAATCAGCTTCCTTCTAGCCCAGCAATGGCTAGGATAACCAAATGTTTACAGTAAAAAGTCCAGTTCTTTGTATTATGAGAGGAAAAATGAATGGTTTAGGTAATAAGAAGTGAATATGGCATTTGTTACAAAGTTGGAAAGAATTGATTTGGAAACAGCTGAGATGTATCTAATTTGGCCAAGAAGTGCTACTTCTCAGCACTTCATAAATACAGTTACCTGTTGATGACCATCTCATAATATTCCTGGCAGGCTGTTCACTCCAGCCGTTTTCTTTATAAAAGGTCCTCAGTTTGAAGTAATTCTGTTCTTCTGGGAAATGCTATATGCCTCTGTTGCAGGATTTCCTGGTGCTTCTACCATCATTTGCCTACCCTGGTCTGGAGCTGATCAGCTGTTTCATATCTTTGTTTTATGCAATCTAGTGTTAAGTGCTGTGTTGTGTGCCCTCAATCATGAAGGTGCCACTAGATTCCAAAAACTGGACTTGTTTCTAAGTTCCTTCTTCTTGTAACAAAGAGAGAAAACTGTATGAATGTGAATGAGGGAGCAATTGCTGAGCAAAGGTGTTCATCAGCCATCTGGCAAACTATTGAAATGGCCACATCTCAGTTACAGTGTGATCAGCCATGATTCTCCATAGATTAGAGATTGTTGGTAAATAGAGAAGTGAAAGGAAAGGAAATTAACTCCCTCCCTCCTCCCCCCCCACTCCTTTATAAGACCTTTAAGTCATCTACAACCCTGCGTGTCTGCCTCTGCTCTTTTCCTTTAAGTGCATATCCTTAGAACCTATCCAGTGTACCAAGGAAGCTTTTAAACTATAATACAAGATTTTGTTTGAATATGAACTTGGCTGATTATTTGTTTAAGTAAGGGAAATTAGATATGCTGGAGAAGATGAAATAGAAATAAAAACAAATTACAAATTATTATATACATATTTCCCTCCCTGCTAAGTTCTTGAAGACGGATCTGTTTACTCCTGTTCTCACTCCATCCACTGCTAGTTACCTAGGTCACTACAAATTATCCCTTTTGCCCTTGGGGGAAGCTTTTTGAGTCTGACTATATGTCTTCTGTAAGCTCTTCTGAGTAGTCCCCTGTTCTCTGCACTTGATGTTGGTTCACAGATTGTCACCTCTTTGTCTCTGCCTTCCTGTGTCTGAGTTTGCAAAGTTTCTCCCAGGGTGGTGTGTTCAATTGCAGCAAGAAAAAGAATGATCTCCCTTTGGTTCTTTCACCTTCCACTAGAGTTAGGATATGGTAGCCAGGACAAGCCATTGTCTCTGCTGATGGATGCTCCTTTTTAAAGTGCAGTACACAACTACAAAAAAATAAAACACACCATCCTTCTCAGAGAAGTACTTCTGATCTGTTATTCTAGACACCTCATTGCAGATTACTTCATTTGTTTGCATTCAATTAAATACTTTGTCTTTTGGAGCAATTCTAAGACTACAAGAGTATGAAAAAGGACAGCTTGTATACCTAACTCTGTTTTTAAAAGACAGTTGTAAATTGGTGATAATTTAACCATTTGAAGTTAGGGTTGGCTGACATGTTTTGATTTTTGTATGGAACACTATTTGTCCAACAATCTCAATCTCAATTGGACCATTCAAGAATAACATTTATAATGCTTATAAAAACCCAAGGCAAAACCAAGAAAATAACATAAAGGATGTACACACATTAGTCTTAATATTTCTATGTGACACTTGGGAACCATTTGGGTTATAACAGAATTAATTGGGGAGCTTTCAACCAAAAGCCTCTAGTGTTTTACTTCCCTATTTTAAAAAGTGGAAAAATAATCTTTGGTCACCCGTATTTACAGAAGGGCATAGGAATAGTCATTATGTAAATGAGATGAACTTGGAGTCATAAAAGCTAGAAGAAAGAAAAGACCTATTAGCTCACCTAGTCTGTCTCTTTGCAATGCAAGGTTGTTTTCTAGTTTTTAATGAGCCAGCCTATGGAGCTGAGGCCACATCCCCTGGGAGGCTATTCCAGGGTAATGCTAATGCATTCTGATCATAAGAAAATTTGTCTTTATATTTCGTGTCTGTTCCTTAATGGAACTATGGGATTTCTTCCTATCCAATACTTGCTTTTAATCTGCTTAATTCCTTCTTGCTTTTTGTTGTATATATTCTACAGACACTTGTCAACTTTAGATTAGCTATTCCAGTTAAAGATGTAATCATATTTATTTTGGTTACTTGGTCATTTCAGCCCCCATCTACTTACATACTTCTGGTACCTGAAAGCAGGATTGGAAGTTGGGTGCAAATCATTTTCTATGTATATATTTTTCCACATATCTGTATATATTTTCCTGTGATGATGGTTTTACTTTTTCCAGTATTCCTGCAAATTTCTAATCAAGATCTGGTTAGATATTTTACATCTTTGTCTATAGGTACGACATTTGGGAAATAAATTATCTGTAGTGCCAAATGGGTGTTATAGCTTGGGGGAGGAATCCCATGAAATTGTTACTGCCTCTGTTATTGCTGGTCTTCCCAACATGAACTGCCTCAATGAGTTGTTGCCTCTGTAAGTCTGCGTTGAAATAAATGGTCTCTGAACAGGCAGGCAGTAAGATTAACAATAGCAATTTAAATCACAAAAGGGTTTGTTCTTTTCAAGTGTTCATTTAAAAACATAGGCATGATCACTTTAGTGCTCATAATAGTGAGGACTTGCTACAAAATGCTTACCTGGAGACCAAAATGTGAAAAGAACAACAGTTGGGCTTAACCTAAACTCTTCTCTTGTTTGTGCTACCCTTCCTAGATGTTTGAGGGAGAGCTCCTGGAAATGCTCACATCTCATAGTATAATGTATTTCACTTTTAAACTGTAATCCTTCAGGTGCCAGAGCCATACTGGGCTCTTCTACCAGGTGGGTGGAACAGTGGCAAATGGGTTAACAGTCCTGCTTCCTAAAAAAGCCTCTGCCAATTGTTACCTCTGCAAAACTTGTCAAAAATACTTTGTGCCATTTCTCCATCAGCCACTCTGTAGTTCCACCACTCTCATTCATGAGGAGTTATGTTCCTCCCTGGCCCTTCCATACACACTCTTCATATCTCCTAAGCTTCCATTTTACTTCCAAATCAGTGAACTTTCAGCCTCTTAGCTACTGATGATTTTGGGGTTTCATTTTCATTCAGCTTCCAGTTCTGGCTCAGTTTCTTAGGTGACATAAGTATTCTGTTTGTCGTATGTCATTTAAGTCTAGAGGGTATTTGTCTTGACACCTTGTTTGGAAAGTTTGTGGAAACTACAATGATCCTGTACCAGTCTGAGTACTCAAAAAGCCGGAATTCCAGAAGCACCAAGTAAGGCTATTTTGACTAAAAAGGTAGTGCTGATGAAAAGTTGTGGAAGAAGGAATAAGGTATTAACAAGAGATACATAAGAGTAGCAAACTAGGGATGCAAATGGTGGTATGAATAGATTAGTAATTCAAGCATACAGGCAATAGATAGGGAATGAAACAGAAGACTCAATGAAGTTATACTAGCCAGTGAAACTAATGATTGTGCATTTATAAATATTCAAAACAAGAAAAAGCATAGATCATATGTAAAACTCATGAAGTAAATTATAGAAGTGTTCAATCATATTTTTGTTTATAATAGGAACATGGGTGGTTAGAGCTATCTCATTGATATTGCTATAATATAGTTTACCAGCTAAATATTTCATATCAAACTAACTGCAATAGCTTACACAGAGGAATGTTGGAATCATTAATGTTACTATTAAGCAATTCTTGGAAAACTGGGGAAATGCCCAGATACTGGAAAACTGCAGATGATGTTCTTATACTTAAGAAGGGCAAAAGAGATAAACCCAGGGAATAAAACAATTAGCCTCAAATCAGCACCAAGCTCTGTTTTAATTACGTTAAGTTGAGGTGAGGGCTAGATATTCCCAAGTAATGTCACAGAATGGTTAATGCAATACTCTAATTTTATGCGAATATCTAATTCTTTCCTTTTTGATTATGTTAGTGAGTACGTTTTTAGAGAAACTTGTCTTTTTAAACAAGACAACCTGTCTCCTTGATGAAGGCCCTTTGTTATGTTTATACCATTTCAAGAGTAGGAACTTTGAGCCTTATTGAGACTGAGAAACCATCACTAGATATTTTGTAGGGGAAGAGAAAGATCATGGGGTTTAGACCACAGAAAATAGGTTATAAAGTGGTTTGGATTTGTGGGAGAGAAGAAATTTTTTTCTCTGACAAGATGCCTTATTGTACAGTAGGCATTTAACACTGAAATGTGCCCCTTTTGTTTCTAAGTGATTTCTAGGTGGCAACACTGCTTTTGAAAGTGGGACTGAGAGTCAGTCCTGCAGCCATGCCACTGCCATCTCATAAATTGCCACCTATCAGCTAAGCTGCAGTATCTAATGGTATATGCTCATAGTCTCTCAAAATCTGAGATAAGGCAGTTCAGTCAGCTCTTTGTGAACAAAGTTTACAATAAATCATACTACCTTGTGTTTGTCATGGGCTAACAGTTCTTATTAGCCTGGCTCAGCTGGCAGGTGGTAACTGCTCTGCTTTCATTGTGTCTCTTCTTGCTCCTTAGTTCCTTGTAGCTAAATTTATGGCATCTAACTTCAAGATTTCATTCTAGTCTGTGAAAAGAGCTTGGTATCTCATAGGGCAATTTCTTCCAGCTTTAAGATGTCTAAAATTGGTGGCATGAGCTGGTGGTAATGGTTATCTTCACTGGCGGTAGAAGGCACCAACACACCTTCTGAGACCAGATTAATTCTACCTGCCTTTGTTTTGGAGGATTTCCTGCAATGGTTTCTAAGTGTTCCCTTATGAAGCACTGAGCACAATAGGAAAGCTTTGTTGGTGTAGGAAAAGACGTTTCCGTTTTATACTGACAGAAGCCAAAAGCTCTCTGTCTGGAAGTGCAGTCAATCCCCAGAAGAGGCAGTACCCTGTAGGTATTTCCCTCACTGGCAGACCACAGCAGCTGGTTAAAGAGCAAGTGACCTTAATGTTTTTTGAAGGAAATCTCAAGCACTGTTTTACAACCAAAGTTATAAATCTGTAACAGGAAAAGTGGGGTGATCTGTGGGAACCGAAAAACAAATTTGGAGAAACTGTAATGGCATTAGGAAAAGCAAAGTTGACTTGCATTTCAAGTGGAGCCTTGCATGCATATTTTGAAAGTGCTTAAGACACAAGCTTCATTAAATATATGTTTTCATTCTTCCAGTGAAACAACAAATGTTTCATTCACTCAACAATTTACATGATTTAAAATCTATGAAAAATAAAAAGAAGCAATAAACCCCAAAGTTTGAGAAGGAAATTGCAGTAAGAACCAAGAGGAATACTTCAATAAAGACAAAAATATGGAACTAGAGCCCATACTTAGGGTGGGGGAGTCAGGAGGCAGTGGCTTTCTGTGAAAAAAATCAGTTTAACTTGTGTTGTGTCATTAACATCCATTCTCTGGTGGAGCATATTTCATATTTTACTTAACAAAATGTGAATGTCCCTAGAGTGTGCTGACATTTAATGTTCTGTAAGTATCATAAGCCCGAATTCTAACATCCTTCTACTGTACAATGGCTTTCTTACTTTGTGCACTTGATCTTGCTATGGTAATAACTAGTAATCTTGAACTGTACCTAGGTGAAACATTCCTGCATGAATTGGTTTACATGTAGTTTGTCAATTGTAGATAATTTGCATTAAATATATAGTGCTGTTTAAACTCTTGTCGGTTACTTTAAAAAATTTACTACAGATATTAGAAAATTTGGAACAAGGCTTAGCTGAAGATGGAAGTATGACTAACATTACACAGGAGAACAGACAAGGTAGGTATTCTTTAAACATTTTTTTCACAGACAGTGTGTTTTTATTGCTTGCCTAAGTATGCCAGAAATTTTCACAAGACTGCCCCAGAGTGGTTAAAACAGTATTTTTGTAATCTCATAGTCTACTCAGCCCCCAAAATGATACACTTTGTACTTTTATTTGCTGGAATTAATTTTACAGTTTTGCCCTTGATCCAACTGACGCACTAAATCAATTCCTTTTCCTACTTAGAAGAAACAAAGAACATGTCTGCTCTCCTTTAGTGATGAATATATAAGTGTACTGCTGTTGCAGCTAGATGGACGTTTCATCTTAAGCCTTGTCTGACCAACTCCTCTCGATCCTTATGTCTGACACCCACTCAGTTTTTTCAGATTGAACTGCCATCATACCATGGCTACGCTGGCCTGGGGTGCTGCTGCATAGATGGCCTAGTCTCACTGTAACTGCATGGTGCTTAGACTCCTGAAGTCCCTAGAAAACACCTAAGGCACTAGAAAACTATTTAGATTATGTTGAGCTACATCATCATTTTCATGATTTTGTGTCCAATTATGTTTTCTCCTATTCCTTCTATCTTAGTTGCGTAGCTTCAATAGTATAGGGTACATTACTGCATAAAAAAGGGTGAGCAGGACAAAGTAGTTGTCCTGCATTTTTTTTTTAAACGGAAGAAGTCATTTGAGTATACTTGACAATTGTACAAGAGGTTACATTTCAGACATTCCTATGGATTATATGGACCCCTCATAGTGCCTGGCAAGTTCAAAACATCACACCAGAAAAACAAAAACCTTTTAGCTTCAGCTAACAGTCTAAGGAATGTTACCAACTTCTTTCCGGGATAACATTCACATGGAGCCTGTGGGAAGTAAAAGTCTGGCTCTGAGATAGGAAGAAGCCAAGCAGAGTTAGTACCAGAGTAAAAAAATGATTATAAAAAATTCCTTAAAACAATGTCTCTATAGAAGGGTGCAGACCTGTGTAAACTATTCTTCTGCCTGGTCTTCATTTTGACTGGATGTAAAAACAGCTTGAATGTTTTACTGTACTTGACTTAATACACCTTCTATATGTCCTAAGAATATTAACACATGAGTAGCATATATTACAAAAATGTTTGCAGATACAGTTGAATACATTTACTATTCTTCTCAAAAGGGTTAGGAGAAAGGGAAAGAATCTGACGTTGAAGATTTATCCACAGCTCTTCAGGAGTTTGTGTTCTTCTGTCTTGTATCTACAATTCTTTTTGCCTCTGTTCTATTTACTTTTCCCTATTAGCCCTTTCTACCAGATTTTTGTCCTTATCCCCATATCTTTTCCTTTTTACCACTTTAAAACTAGGATGTTGGTCCCCCATTAAATACAAGGACTTTTTCCTAGATGTGTCATAATCCTGTGTCCTGCATTCTGCCTCGCTCATGAGTTTCTGGCTCCTTGCTTTTCCTCTCTGCTGCTGCTTTAGAGCTCAGATGGCCTCAGGAGGAGGCATAGTTAGAAAAGCAGGAGCTAGTAGTTACCAAGGGACATGGTTGCAGAAAATTTGGAGGGATCTTTGCATGTCTACTATGCAGCTGCCTTTAGGTTTAAGACTGCCAAAAAGCCCACGGGACTTTTGCAGAGACTGTTGACTGCTACTGTCTGTAGAGGTCAGCCAGGTCTGCTCCCTCTCTGCTTCCTTGCTGCATTTGTAGCTCCAGGAGGCTGATAATGGTTTTGCTTTCTTCCATCTGAGACTAGCTGAAGCAAACCTTATTAACTTTATGTGAAGACAGCCCTAATTCATTATAGGGATTATGCTTAGCCTGTAATTTCCATGCTGCGGCTGTAAGAAGGTGCAACACCAATCAACTTACCATGTACATCTCCTCTAGTCTGGAACAGAACACCTCATTTGCCAGCTTTTCAGCAGGCAGAGAGATTTAGCATTGCACCACTTGCCTGCACCACACGTTCTACAAGATGCCAATTTTGCAACTTCACAGTGCACAGGACACCTATTGAAATGAATGGCAGTGTGGAGTACAGAGTCCTTGATGAATAACAAGGAAAAGGAAGTGCTTAGAGTGGAAACATGACTGCATGGACTTGCAGAGAGGGTTTCAGGCATCTCAGTAACATACAATGATCTGCTGTTGGGTTTTTGGTTTTGTTTACTGCTTTGCAGGTTTTCTTTAACCCCTTTCTGCCAGTGCTAAGAAGCTTCATCACACAGGGCTACACAGGAATTTCCAGACAAAGTTCTGTTCAGTTTATATCACAGTCTGAAGACATCTGGCCTGCCTGCTTTGAGGTCCTTTTTTGAGAACTGTAGCTGGTGCTATCTGATTGTTAATAGGAAACCTAGATGTCTACAGTGTAGGAATCAACATGTAACTTGTCACCTAAGTCCTAAAAAGCTGTGTGTGGTTACCAAACTATGAGGACATGCAAAAAAGGAGGTATTTGCTTAAGTGAAGTAATAAAGGGGAGTTATTTAATTATGTCCAGGTTTTAGACACACCCACAAGGAAAGAAAAAAGGAAATGTGTCGTAAGGTATTTGCTCGGGGTTTACAGCATCCTCTCCATTGGTAGCACTAGTGATGTGTGGTCAAGGGGGAATTTCTAAAACAAAAAGCTAGGACTAATGAATGATTTTAAGTTCAGTGGATGAAATACTGGATTCAGTGTTGACCCCCACGATACCCCTCTTTTGACAAAGATAATTTGAGAATATTCATGAGTTGGGTTTTTTTGTTTTGTTGTTGGAGAGGATTGAAGGATTTTTCTTTTTCAGGAAGGAAAGTAGACATTTCACCAAGCTCTTCTTATTTGTAATGACATTTTTGTGTGCTGAAGGAATTATCTGTGTAACCTATCATGCTTTCATCAGAGACTACATTAATGACACAAATGAGTGGTCTCAGTTCTCACAATTTCATTGAAATAGCCTCTTCTCCCTTCCCCCCACCCATTTTCAAAACATTATAGTGACCTTGACAGCTGACACATTTCTTTTTCAAATGTTCTAAATTGATAGTCCTGGTGTTTATTTTTGAGGATTAGAGGAATATTTCTAGCATTGATCTGGGGTACTGTAACACAAGAGAAAACAAGGATCTGTGTGAACCATTCTCTTACAACATCAGGAGTCTGTCTGCAAAGCAAAAGGGAGAAATCTGCTGCTGCAGCTTTTAATGCCTGCAAGCTCCAGGAGCATGGGGAAAGCAGACAGGCTTGGCAGATTTTTTCCAGCATATCTCTGAGCCAGAGGCAAGCACAAACAGTCCCCCACTCAGACATTTCTCACTCTGCATGTTTTGGCTCTGAAATTACATTCTAGCTGTGTTTAATTTTTGAATTTATCACATTTAATGCTGTAGATTAGGTGTTTTTAAACTGATGCTCATTATTACTTGGATCCTTTTATGCACCTTTTGTTCTGATGCTGGAAAATGCGTGGCTTATTTTGGTGTTTAATATTTGGCCTGAGCTGAAAGCTGAGTGGCTGCCTATTGCTCTGCGTTGTTGCATCGTGTTTGTTACCCAGAGCTGCTTGAGCAATTCCCTCAGAGAGATGCAGAATTCTCTGATGCCGCAGCATGGCTGGGAATTAAAAATTCTAGGCTAAAACCCAGTGGTGTTAACGAGAGGGACCTTTCAAAATCGTAATTCATAGGACCAGTAATTGATGGCAAGAAAGAACCTCTAATTTATTTGTGCAAATTCACAAGCTGCTCTTATTTTGCAGCCTCTGTTCAGCTGTGGAGGTCACGTCTGGGCCGGGTGATGTACTCCATGGCAAACTGTCTGCTAATGATGAAGGTACGTGGGTGGCAGAACTGCAGAGGTACCGTATATTCCAGAAGAGGATGTCACAGAAAGTGCAAGTGAATTACTGGTGCAGAGATAAGGGAAGACTACCTGACAGTAGTGCTGAGTGAAGTATTAATTAGACTTAATAATGTCTTATTTAATAGATAGCTATTTGCAGTAATGTTCTTTGGGAACATATCTGTACTTATTTCTCCCCAAATCATCCTAGAGAACATGTAATAACAATACAGAATTTGCATTTTTAAATTGAATTTTTCAAACACTTAACTAAATGCTCTAATTAAAAGCAATTATGTGCTCTATCTTTTTCAAACTGCATTAGGAATGTGGCTCTGTTTGTGAGGATTAATAACATTGTAGCCTTTGTAGCTGATGAAGATCCAGAACATCTAAATACATCCTCCCCTGTCAACCGATCTCAGTTGTAATATATCATCTTTCAAGTTTAAGTCCTCACTAGTGGATAGAGGTGGAATAGACATGAATAAAAGCAAAAGTGACTAGCCTTCACTGTTGAGTTTTTTTCCCTTGATTCCTCCTTGCTTTTTTCCCAATTCTACGCCATTTGGTACAACACACTTAGCTTTCTCCTTGTATTCAGGAAGTAGAAATAAAACAACTTCTGCCAATCCCGTTGTGGTCAGGGAAGCAGGGCTATGGTCATTCTTGCAGCAAACTGCTATTACCCTGAGCTTAACTGTACTTCACAAATCAGTTAGCACAACAGCCTCAGAGCAGGGCCATCAGCAGTATAATCTTCACAGGCCAAGACTTGCACTCCTGGCTCCCTGCTCTTCAACTGCCCATGGTCGTGCCAGATGTGATCCTTTGATGTTTACTAAGGTACTTCCCAAAGAGGGCTCCATTCTTAATATTATAATAGCTCAAAAAGTATGCTTTTCTTTTTTTCTAAATATAAGAGCCATTTATCCAGCTTTACATGAAATGGAATATCCTTGTTATGAGAATTAGGGAAAACATACATTTGTTTTTGTAATTATATTGTGATAAAAATACTTCTGTCTTGAATAGAAATAATTGTCCATTAAACTATGAGATATTTCTAAGAATTAGCAAGCATTTGTGTTTTGAGGTAGGTACATGACACAGGTTCATTTTTTAAAGAACTTCCTTTTTCAAAAAACAAGTGAAGAAAAGCATGACTTGCCATCCCAAACAAAGTAGAATATATAAATAAGAAAATGCTGGTATATATATTTTCAAGATGTTCACTTTTCACTGTGAATTGTTTTTAACTCTTTCAGTGTTTTTCTTCTCATGTACACACAAATCCACATGCATGGACACTTTTCACCTTCCTCTGGTTTGGTCTGGTTAGTGCTATTTTCTTTGAATAATAGAAATGTATTTCTGAGTACCGATTACCATCTTTTTAAAAATGATACTTCAGAAATACTGCAGCTCAGATACTTCTTAAGACCAGTTGTATTCGGGGCATATCTCACAGCTGTTAAGTTGTAGTGGGGCCTCTGGTGGTCTAGTGGTTAGGGTGCAGGACTCTCACCGCTGCGACCCGGTTCGATTCCCAGCCCCCCCGGGCAGATGGAGCTCGTCAGCCTTGTGTGGCAATCCATCTAAGAGAAGGTCACTCTAAACAAACCTACATTCTGAGGACCTCACTGCCACTGTCCAAGCTTGCTCGGCCCGGGCAGATGAACCTCAGGATTAAAGGGTGGGCTCAGTTCAGCGCACGCTGTGTCTCACCTAAAAAAATCCACTGCGCAGGCTCGAAGGGTTAATGACCTTTCCCAAATCTTTGCTCGCAAAGACTGGCCATTATTGTTATTATTATTATTATTTATTATATTATTATTAAGTTGTAGTCCCATGGTAACTTCTAGATTATCCACAACTGCATGTTGCATTTCAGTGCATTGGCTATAGAGTAGTTGTGAATCTTTCAACTTTCAGAAATATCCCTAGATGATTGTAACATGCAGCAGTGCTGTAATCATCTTCTCCACTTTGCACAGTATTCAGCAAGAAACTGTTTCTTCAAATAATTTTTAAACACACTTTTCTAAGTTCTCCCATGAACAATTATATTAATTGAACAGAGTTCCACCTTTTCTTTTTTACTGTTCTGTAATATACTTTAAAAACTGCATTTGTTTTTATTCAAGTATTTCAAGTATATGTAATTTAAGAAAAAAAACCAATTTCATTCTCCAAGTCAGCGCCATCTATTGCCATCTAGTGACCAATCACAATATTGCAACAGGGTAATGCTTGGTCCCCAGGTACTGTTCGGTGATAGAATACCTTGTGCTAGTAGTAGATTAATAGTAATAATTTATTAAAGTAAAATTATGTGACAACGGTATGAAAAAAAATAAAAATTTGCTATATTTCTTTAAGTAACCTCTTTGGCCAAAAAAACTACAGTACTATTTAATCTTGTCAGGGCTGATGCTTGAAAATTAAAAAAATAATGCTTCGATTAGATATTGGCATTATGACTATTTAAATCTACTTTAATTATCCTTAACTCTAATTAGGTTTTTTTCATGTCATATCTCTTCTGCATTACTTCAGTGAATTAAGGAGTTCTGTTTATATAGCACAATGATTTTTGCCTTTTTAAATATGGCATCATTGGTTAAACATCTCATTAAATTATTGAGATAGTATATTATTTTGAAGTTAGTGAGTGAAGGTCAAGAAAGTGATTCACCCAGACTTGTGCAGGAAACCTGCAGTGGAACAGGAAATCAGTCACATCTCCTTTATCCTGGGACTATCTGTCCAGGGTACTGAATTCTGTCTGCTGCGTCCCTTTATCTGTGTGACCAGTGATAGTTCAGTAGAAATTTAAGGCAGTCTTAATATACCTTATTTTCCTGATCATCCCCCTTTCTTTGTACAACCTTTCTTAAATGGATTCCAGCTTCCTTCCGTGCACCACTATTGGACCTAACCAAATGATGAAGAAATGGTGGATCTCAATCATATCAACTGATGTCAAACGGCTTTCCTATTTCCTGTGAACAAAGGGCAGCTTAAGGAAGGACGTGGAAATACAGCAGGAAGAGAAGGGGAGACCATGTAACCTGTCACTGTAGACTTCCATTTATAAGAACTGTGGGCTTAAGTCACTATGAAACCATATCCTGAACATAGCAGCCTGAGGAATATTCATTTAAAATGCAGCTGATGATGTGCATTGCTTCATTTCAACTCTAATTGCAAAATGTCTGACACTTTACTAAATCACCATGGAAGTGTCTTGAAAACTTTTAAAGTTCTTTTCATCTGAGCTAAAATCGCTTTTGACATTATCTTACCAGACTTTTATCTCTCTAAGGAATAAACACTTAAGTATTTTCCATATATATTATAAATGCACTCTAATTAAAGGCACATTTTGTGCTTTTTAGTTTTTTTCAGTGTTGTCTTAGCTTTTGTAGAACTTGCCCTTTGTAAAACAAAAGCATTAGAATTGATTTTAATTTGGGTCTAATACAATTAAAATTGTACCAAGAAGAAGTAACAGCTTGTGCTAGTAACACAAGGAACTGATGCTGAAGGACTTTGGTTCCTCTATGATTTAAAGGAGAAAGACTGCATGAATCATCATGTCTTTTGCCTAACTGTGCTGCAGTACAGCTCTTTGGATTCACAGCACTATGAATCTCTGCTTTCATAACCTTTCCACAAATACACTAGATAGAGAGGAAGGGTAAGGTATCCTTGTCCTCTTTCACCTAAATAAAGTATTTATGACCTGTACGCTTTGTAGAACTAAAGCTGATTTTTAATCTAGGGTTTGTTGAACCTACTCTCAGAATTCTACACATTGTGGTCATTTATGCTTATTTCTAAATATTTCATAATTAATATTTTAAGTAGTTAAGGTGGTGATGAGGGAAACATGAAAATGTATGATGCAGTGACCAAGAAGGGAAGTACAGTTATACTGCAGTGCTTGAAAGGAAAAACATAACCTCAGCTGAAATTTTTGTGCAAGTAGGTCCAGTGAATTACTAGAACTATTTTAGATTAGTATAGGTAATGTTAGCCCCAAATTTTTATAATAAAAGAGGTATTGTATTATAAAACAATAGGCCAACTTTCATTCATATCCTGAATTGCACAATTTCAGTCCTTCTCTTGGGATTTTTTTTTTATGAAGGTGTGGAAAATCTGAAGGCTCTTAATCTTTAGAAATTAAATACTGTGATAATACATCAGCCCTACCTTAAGTCTTAGTATCACAAAATGTAGTCATCGGGATTTTTACTGGCAATACTTAGCGTGTTTTACTCCTCACAACTATGCCTTGTATCAATCAAGACTTAACTCCTCTGAGGTACTGTGTATTTATCATTCTATCAGACAATTTCTGTTGTATTAAGTCACATTAGCAAAACTGTGAATGACAACAGTCTTTAGTAAGTGAGATTAAATATCACCTATTTTACAATATGCCCCATCAGAAGGAACTGCCAGATAAGATGCCTCTGTAACTGGCCACAGAATAGTATAGTTCTGTATCCATTGCCAATAATAAAGATGAATATGTCATGGCACATTAGATTTGGAATAAACTCTAAATGTTAATAATTAATTGTTCAGAATTAATGATTATACCCACAATATACAAGTTGTTTGCAAGGTCCTGCAGAGTGCTTCCTGGGCTATTTAAGTCAGCTTCTACAATTCTAGGACATATAATTCCTCTCATACACAGATCACACTCCAAAGACTTGTCTTGAATTTTGTTTATAAGAGACTATTAATATGTTCCACATAGAATGGTTTGGGTTGGAACAGACCTCTAAAGGTCATCTAGTCAAACCTCCCGCTGCCATGTGCTGGGACATCTTGAACTGGATTGGGTTGCTCAAAGCCCCAGCCAGTCTGACCTGGAATGTTTCCAGGGATGGGGCATCCACCACCTCTCTGGGCAATCTGTTCCAGTGTTTCATCACCCTCACTGTAAAAAATTTCTTCCTTATATCTAGTCTGAATGGATCCTTTTTTAATATAAAACCATTACCCCTTGTCCTATCACAACAGGCCCTGATAAAAAGTTTGTCTCCATCTTTCTTATAATCCTGTTTCAAGTACTGAAAGGCTGCAAGGAGGTCTCCCCAGAGCCTTCTCTTCTCCCGGCTTAACAACCCCAACTCTCTCAGCCGTTTCTTATTGAGAGGTGTTCCAGCTCTCTGATCATTTTTGTGGCCCCTCCTCTGGACCTGCTCTAGCAGGTTCATATTTTTCTTATGCTGAGAACTCCAGAGTTGGATACAGGGTTTAGTACTTTGAAGTGCATCCTTAGGAAAAGAAATTCATTACACCTGGGGAACATTGCTTCCTCAGACTAAGCAGGAGATGAAGAAAAACCACCTTTGCTAGTAGCTGTGTTCACATTAGGGAAAAGTTAAATGAGTACTATATTTTGACCAAGAAAAATGGTAGGGTAGAGAGTATTCCAAGATATCCGTGTAGTTTTGAAAGATTGTTCTTTGTTGTCTTTTGCTTCCTGACATCCACCACAAACTCATGTATTAAGTTGAAGGGCAGGACTGTCAGGAAGCACCAAATTATTAAAACATGGAGAGTCTTCTGCCTTTGCATAGCCTGGCCTCTGTAAGCGAAGGCAGGCACTCTCTGCCTCTACTCACGGTCTCTCCAAGGAGCTGTAGCTGAGGCTGGCACAGCCCTGTGCCCCGTGAGTGTACCCACAGCGTGTCCTCAGTCAGCACAGAGTACATGCAGTGTTTCTCACGTGTGCCTGCCAAACCCTGTGTAGCCAGGCTCTGAAAGTCAGGTACTGCCCAGATCATTGAATTACTGTAGTTTAACCGTGAAACAGCTGGACTGCAGGAACCAGGCACAAGGCCATTTCTTTCGTGTGGGAAATGGGACCATGGTTTTGTTTAATATTCTGTCACTGGTCATTAGCTGGAGGGTACAGTGGCACTGCATCTTGAGTAGGCAGATCTCAGAGCTGCCCCTTGCCAGCACAGCCTTCATGCCAATGGGGAGTGGTGTCACTCGCAAAGCTTTCTGGAAATCAGACCCAGCCCACTCCTCACTTAGTTTTAGCCCAAGTCAGTTTTCTATTTAGATTACCTGCTTTTATGCAGTATGGTAGAAAAAAATCAGCAATTTAGGTGAAGAGACGGAAAATAACTTGTTTCCCTTGGCAGTAGTGCTAGTTTGTGATCTGAATACGTTCAAAACTGCAGTTTCTGTTGTGCAATGTTGTTTGCAAGTCTGTGCACAGGCAGTTCCTAAAGCTTCCGAATATAGTTTGTTAAACCATATAAATTATACATATACTTGAAACGAGACATTTCTCAAGTATGTATACCCCCAGTCACACAGAAAGTGCTTGACTTTTATCCTAAATCATAATCTAAGCTGAAGAGTAAATGTTTCAGTTTTTGGCGTTTAGCTACTGAAAGAATATGATCCAGTTAAAAAAAAGGGAAAAAAAGATCCCCTGTGTATGCAGTTCCCATATAACTGAGAAAAGACCAATATAATCAGTTACTAGTGCCTACAGTGATTGATAAAAATTTTGTCCCACTGACAAGTTGCAATTATTTTAATTCTGTTTGAGTAAGTCCACATAAAGGGTGAAGAATGCTGATCTTAAATACCTGATCGTGTGCTTTTTACCCTTAGGACTATGTGCTTGCTGTAGATGCTTACCACACCGTCATCAAATATTACCCACAGCAAGAGCCTCAGTTGCTGAGTGGAATTGGAAGGATTTTCCTTCAGGTATGCATTTTATTCTAAATTTGCTAGGTAATATTGCTGTTGATAGCTATGTAGAGAATAATTGTTGCATTTAAAACTATAGCTATTTTTATAGGGCACATGTCAAATTGTAGAGGCAGTGGTCAAAAGAAAACTCTTCTACTATGTGATATTAGATAAAACCAGGAAATATGAAGCACCTCTAGTATTAAGAGTGTATTAGCAAACAAAGAACATGCTGTGGAAAATCATGCTGGTAATTTAATAAAAAAGTAACATTCTGCGTTCTCTAAAACTAGCGGTAAAGCTCCACTGATGTCAGTGAGCCAGAATTTCACTAAAAATCTCATGTCTCACTGCCTCAGACTGCATGCAGCTCTCAGTCACACTGCCATCTTTATCCTGAAAAAAATCTGAGTGTCCTTCTTTTGTCCACATTATATCCCTGAGAACACAGGAGAGGACAAATTAAAAGAAAAAAATAGGACAGTACAAGTATAATAAATGTCCGTGTAGCCATACTTAATGATTATAAGTAAAAATAGATGTCTTTTTGTTTTTCATAGAATTATTCATATAAATAGCTATCTGATTGTTTTAACTCTTAGTATCTCGCAAGTTCTTTGCAGTTCTTCCATATTTCTGGTACTGATATTTCAAACTTTTTTATCTGCTTACTTTTTATTATTAGTGATAAATCTAATTTTGAGTTGTCAAGTATTTACAAATTATCTTATTTGTGACATTCATGTTCTAAAATTATATTGAAATGGAGTAATTTTCTCTTGATAGATAATTGTTAATATTGTTTGCTTGAAATCATAGAATGTCATTCAAATTCAATTAGGGATTTTCAGTTCTCAGCAGGAACATGCTTTCACAGTGTGGTAGGCATGTCTGTCTTTAAAAGTATCTTGTTTAAAGTGGATCTGCATCACTATAGAACAATTTTATAATATTGGCTGCATGCATTAATTATTATCTAAATAGACAACCTAGTAATTCTGCATATTAATGAACAGTACTGTAAATATGCATAATACTATTGGAAATGGAAGTTATTAATAGTTTTGGTCTTACTGAGAAAATGACTAGGTACATTACTGGTACTGCCTTGCTGACGAGAGTGTCTGCCCTGGTGTCACACTCCAGTCTGTTTGTAGCTCCATTTGCTATAGAAAAATTGTCACTCCCAGGAGGAAAGTGTCTCCTGACTTACAGAGTCATTTGAAGGCATTGACCTCCTTGGTTCTAGCTGTGACAACAGGGCTTTAGGGCTTAGTGGTTCTGCTGTCATAACTGGACATAGCAAAAGGGCATATGGGGAGTCCTGGATATTTTCATGTGATCTAGACAGAAGTTAAAAAGAATCATTTCTGAATGCAAATGTTTTCCTTTCTTCTAGCACCTTAAGGAGATAAGGTTTTATTGTTTAGCTTGTTGTCTTTTTCTGTGACACAATCTTCAACTCTGTCTGGGTGGTACTGTTGCAACAGATGCAAGATTTTGATATATTAAGAGGAATAGGGAATGTGCAGGTAAACAAACCAAGAAGTTCAAATTAAAGAAAGACAAATGTGTTGCAGGCCTGGGCACCATGATTTTTGTAAGATCACTCTGTGGTGTGTGTGCACGGTTGACATGGCACTCCCTGGAAAACAAATAATATGTCTTGCAGGTAAAATGGGAAAGCAATTTTCTCATATTCAAGTGTTACAACTTCTCAGAAACAGGTAGTGATTTCCAAATAACCACATATTGTGCTGATAACTTTGAAGTTTTTCCAAGAGAGGCGTAAAGGAGCCAGATTCCAGTTGCTTATCAGCCACAGATACTGTTTGACAATAGACATCACAGATACGAAACAAAACAGTAATGTAGAATGAAGTGTAATTCAGGAGTTGAACAGAAAAGAATTGTAATCTTTTTCAACATGTAAAACTTTATGTGTGATTTACTTTTTCTTAATTAAATTGAGCTTACTAGTTTAAGGCATCATACCTTCTTTATCTTCACATGTAAGTGGAGCATAAAGAGGTCTAAATCTGATGTACGGCCTTTAGCTGTTGCCTTAAGTAACTGGGAAATGAGGATGAGAGAAGTGAAGAATGCAGGAAAAGACAGAGACTGTCACAGAGAAATTTTCAGAAGCACTGTAATTCTGTCAGCAATCACCTGCCCAGTAAAACAGAAATTCACATGAAATGAGGAAACACATTTTAGTCTCTAGGATTACATTGTGTCTTGCTAATAGACTCTGCTTATTGACCAACCTATTCAAGTTTGCTGTTTAAATAACTACATTAAAGAATTTAGAAAGTAGAAAACTGCCTGACCCTACCCTCTGTAACAGATTGCTGCAAAACAGAGTCAAAAGCAATAAATACATCCTAGGAATATGTAAGAAAAATAATCTCAGTTTCCAGACAAACAACAAACTTAAACACATAATATATTAGAGGATCCTTGTTAGAGGATATGATTATTTGAAGTTAACAATGGAACTTTCATTTTTATTTGATATGCTAATTATGGTTAGATACTGAAATCACACTTTCTGAACTAAGTTAAATAAAATAAAGTCATGAAGACCCCTTTAAACTTTAACATTTTAATGACTAATTAAAACTAATTATTTATTTAACTGGTCTTCCCCTCCCCCCCCAAAAAAGTAAACTGTTTGCCCTCTGTGGGAAGAATGAGAATTAAGAGTTTGACATGTTTGTTGAGAAGATACAAGATGCTGCTAAGAAATGAGAACTCTTCATGATCACAAATAATGTGTGATTAGTCTCAAAGCATATTAGATTTGGACTCGTCAAGCTCCCAGTGGAGCAAACTGGTAGCTTGCTTTAGAAATTGATTATTCTCATGGTTAAAGGAATTCCTTCTAATTTTTCAGCTAAAAATACTCAAGGACAGATTCATTTACACTTGTGCCAGCATTATCCTCTAGTTAAATGTAATTATTTTCTTGGTGATTTACATCTTTAGTGTTATTTATAGAGGGAAACTGTATTCTTTGACGTTATAACTGAATGGATAAGATTTTAGAATGAATATTTGTTTTGTTTGAGTCCATTTACATTACACCTGGGAGAAATGCATCTGTTTCATGAGATAAGACTATTAATGGCTATCCCAGAAATGCTTGGTAGATGGACAGTTGCATCTTTAACTGCAGTGTTCAGTTGAATCATCTCTTAAATGTAAAGAAGAATAATTTCTTTATGTTGACAAGGGAGAACTCTTGTGGTTAGAGGAAAACCAGTATCTGTTTAATATTAGTGATGTTAGTAGGGCTTTGGATACTTGCCACTATGATATTCCCATAGCCAAATTGGTAAGAAATCTAGATGAAACCTTCAGGTGGATGTTTGCTGTCTCTGAAAAGTGTAGTTGGAAAGTCATTCACTGATGACTAGGACTTTCTAGATGATCTTTTCCACAGGGATGTCTGTAGGGTTTGTAGTGCTTGTATTTTTTGGTTAGGTACTTGTATGATGAAATGAGAAGCATTTTTGTAAAAAGTACAGATGATGCCAAGCTTGGAGTGGTACAGACACTAAGAAGGGCATGATCAGAATGCAAAATAATCTTGACAAGTTGAGAAACTGAAATGTTAAATTGGCTCTGATTCAAACAGCAAAAGGCAAAATGCTTCCAAAGGCTGGGAGTAATGTACAAAATGGGAAGCAACAACAAGGTACTGTTCTGTAGAAAGGAATTAGGTTAAGGGTAAGAAAATACACGTGGGTAAACCAGTCGGACTTCAAAATACCTGGTGTGAAAGCAAACTCTATATTCACATGTGAAATGTAATATGATTCTTCCATTCTCACTGCTGGAGAGAGATCAGTTGGAGTGTTGTGACCTCTTAGGTGAATGCTTGGGGAGGATGTGAAGTAACAGGAGAGAATTTAGAGAATAACATCAAGAATGATCAGAGAAACCAGAAAGCATTATCTATGAGAAAGGGGTGAACCCTGATTTGCTTGAAAATGGATTCTTATTCTAGAAGGAAAAGGTAAAAATTTTCAGATATGTAAAAGGCTGTTAAAAAGAGGACTTATACCATTCTCCCTGACCACTATGGACAGTACAAAAAGTTGAGGTAAAAACTGCGGTAAGATAGAGTGTATTTTGTAATACTAAGGCAATTTAAGAATTCTGGATAAGTTTCCTAGTAAGACTCAGATGTGTAATACTCACTGTCTGAGAACTTTAAGGAAACTTCAACACATTTGTCACAAACATTTTCATAGTGTTGTCCTGTTCTTGAACAAACAGGTGATCTCTTAAGGGCTCCTGAAATCTCCCCACCTGAGGGCTGCCTGGTTTCCATGGCTGTATGCTTCTGAACTAATTTAGTTTTACTCCTTTTGATAGATTCTGATGGATTTATTTTACTCAGTACTAAGTTGTCGTCTTCTTCCATCTCTCCAGCCTGAAAAGTACACTGCTAATTTATTTTCCAAGGGGGCCTTCTTCAAATATTTTTTTTTCATCTCAAATAGCAATGTATGTGACATACTCTTAGGTGAAATACCCCATCCTTTCTAGAAATCCCCTTGCTCATCCCCTCCTCCCATAAAATCTGTACTTTTTTATGCTAGCTTTCAGATCTCTCAGCCTGCACGACACACTCACCAATGTTTCTTAGTTTGCAGATGGACTGTCTCCCCAGTAACCTCAGTGGCCCATTGCATTGGGGTTGTTTTCTGACGTGTTGTGGTGTGTGGCCCCTGGCTGTGACCCAGATGTTGTGGGTCAACCAGCTGTGGGTCCTGTGCTAACTACAAGGCTGCTGTATTCCAGTTCTCCTGCCTTATTGACAGCTTCTGCCTGTGTCCCTCTTTCTGCAGAGTAACGCCCAATCTCACTGGCAGTGGCTCTGACCTTGTCTCATTTTCAGCTACTTTATGAACTCTGGAGTTGGTTACAACAAAAGAGCCAAACGAGGATTGTGGGCCCTCCCTGCCCTACAGTCCATGAGTGCTCCACAGCCCCCAGCTGAGGCCTTAGGCAAAGTGCACATGACTTTGGGATGCTTTCTGTGGCCTTAATATGGCTCTTCAAATACATTGTTTGATAACAGGTGTTACCCAGTTGTCTTGGTGCCAAACAGTTGATAATAGACTTTGATATGTTTGCTATGTTTTGTGTCTTACATCTTTCTTTGAGAAAGATATAATCAGGATGTATCTCTTTTCTTTTTCTTGTGGTAACTTTCTTATGATTTTTCTGTCTAGATTGGAGACATAAAAACTGCAGAGAAGTATTTTCAAGATGTTGAGAAAGTGACTCACAAATTGGATGGACTTCAGAGCCAAATTATGGTTTTAATGAACAGGTAGATAATTTAATAGCTAAATAAAACATTTTAAAATACAGTTTTGCAAAGTATGCAAGGTGATCATTAAACAACCCTTGAGACAATCCTGGTCTCTTTCTCTCTTTTTTGTAACTACATCTGTCGTGAGACTGAATGGCATACAGACCCAGGAGATCTGTATTACTTGGTACAGTCATATTATCCTGCATTGAAATTGTGATCCTTCAGTTGATTTTACAAAGCTTTTTCTCATTCTTCCAGGCATTGCATATTTTCAGTCTGCTTTTCCAATATACATTTGCATAAGTAACTCTTAGGAGAGGAGAAGCTATTTTGGGCCGTTATCCTACAATCAGATCTGCCAGGAAAGTTACCGCCTGGTAGCTTCAAAGCATGCTTGAATACATTGTAGTAAATGGAGCTGCGTGATGGGGGCTCAGTTTGCAGTGGTTAGCACATGGGCTTAATATATTTAGAAGATGCTATTCAAAAGTGCTCTGAAAATGATATGGCTAATTTAATGAAGAGAATAATTCCAGGAAGAGAGTATCTGCATTTAAAGTACTAAAAACACAATGAAGACTGTTGCTTTGGTAGGCAGAATATATAATAGCTGAGTGATCCAAGTTGTCATTCCATTTGTCTGTAAATCAGTGTCTCCTTCACACCGTGAAGAACAAATGTCAGAAACTTTCACATCTAGAACAAGAAAAATAAAAAATGGTGTGCATTCTTTTTTAAATGTATTATTACCTCGGGTTTTTGAGGAGAACTCATTTATATGTCACTTACTTTCTAGAGCATTTCTTCACCTTGGTCAGAATAATTTCTCAGAAGCTCATCGATTTTTCACAGAAATTTTAAGGATCGACTCATCAAATGCTGTGGTAAATCTCCAAATTGCTATGTTTATAATGAACACCTAAATTATTCTCGTAATACTTCATGCATAGATTTAATTAGTACCCAGAGTATGCTCAGAGCTTTATAGAAAAATTGGACGTGGCATGTGTACCAAAGGGTTTTCAGTATACATAAGGATAAGATGGAAAATGGGATGAGAAATTAAGAACCAGTCTATATGAAGGGCATGAATACTTAAAGATGCACTTGGAAATTCTGAGACACTCTGTTTTATCGCAAAAGCACTTTTTTTATTCTCAAAAGCACTTTTTTTTTGCAGTCACTGTTTTTAGTGTAGACATGCATGTTAGGAAAAGAAATGGCAGTTCTCAACATGTGTAAGGTTACCTTGATTTCACACAACATTGAAGGGATATTTTAATTTTAAACATGACATTTCTAACACATTACATATCAGAGCCTTGGGCTCCCATCACAAGTGGACATCAAAGAAGAGCTATTTATTTACCTCTGGGTTTTCTACACCTGGCAGTTTTCAGTGCATGGTCATGTAAGAGTATTTCTAAGAAATCAGACAGCTTACCCCCAGTAGTCTGATCCAAGGCCATTTAAAGACTGAGGGGACTGATTTTAAGAAGCACATGAATTGTGTCATTTTGCAGGCTGTAAAATAGTGTCTGTTATAAATCACACAAGATCTGTAAGGTTTCCTGAAGGGAGAGAAAAATATTTCTTTTAAAAGGCCGTGTTCTTCCTTTATCTCCAGCTTTCAGAAAGTGTGAAAGTTTCTGCTGCTAAACACGTTATATGACTTTGTACTGTTAAAATATTTTGGTAACTCATAAAACCTGTTTTGTGTGGTAAGGAAAATGGAACCTGACTTGATCATTTATGATGTATTTAGACTGCCCTATCTGCTGGATTTACTTGAAGTCAGTTGTAGATGCCTTTGTGATAAGATAATATCTTCCTGTTGCTTATGTGGATCTTCTATATGTAAGCCAGAGAGAAAAATGCTTCTGAAGATATAGTGAAGTCATTAAAAAAAAAATATGAAAATGACAGTATGCAGAGGCTCATGTAGTTTCTGAAATCTATTTCACTTGGCTTTCAAAATTAACTGATATCCTATACTATTTATATTTCAATTTAGACTTTGTCTTTTAGAATTTCCGCTCTTAGAACTCAGCAGGTCCTAACTGGCACAGGGTGGATCTTGAGAATAACAAGAAGAAAAGGACTGCATTGTATAATTGATAATGTATTTTAATTTTTGCTCACACAAAAAAAAAATAGTAATTCTTAGCATACAGTAAATCTGTTGTAAATCCAGATGTTAGACTTTTTTTCTTTCTCTCTCATCGCTTGTAAAGACATACATACATATATATATATATCCACACACTATTTATTTACAATGTATTTCTCTCTAGGCGAACAACAATGCTGCTGTTTGTCTTCTTTACCTGGGAAAACTGAAGGATTCCCTCCGGCAATTGGAAGGAATGGTTCAGCAGGACCCTAAACACTACCTACATGAGAGTGTTCTCTTCAACTTGACCACTATGTATGAACTCGAGTCATCTCGCAGTATGCAGAAGAAGCAGGCACTTCTAGAGGCTGTAGCTATCAAAGAGGGTGATAGCTTTAATACCCAGTGTCTCAAGTTAGGGTAGATCATTTCCAACTAATTTTTTCCAGCAAAGAAAAAATTTAATTTTTTTTAAATTGTATATACTCTTGCTGATGTGTAAATGTGAAATAAAGTCTATTCAATTATGAATATTCAGTGGCATTAGTACAGAATCTGTTGGCTCTATACAGGCCTGTCATTGTGAAGACTTTGTGGTGACCTAGAGCCTGCTTCATCCCTACAAGTCTATTACTGTTCAGTTATATATATATACATATACAGTCAGCTACTCAGATTCTTTTGTAAGAAAAACTGAATTTGACCTTATATTGTCTTGATGACTTTTCAGTAGTTAGTGAGCAAATCACATGAGCTGATTTCATCAGCTGAGAGTTACTGACAGAATATCAGTATGTGTATTCAGAAAGGGAATTCTGAATGCACTTCACTTTCTTATACTGTGTGTGTCTCTTTTGTCCCCATCAGACTCCTGGGTATTGCACCTTTGTGTGTCCAAGGCTCTCAGAGGAGGTTGCTCAATAACCACCATCCAGTCACAGCATGGCTGAGGTTGGAAGGAACTGCTGAAGGTTATCTTGCCCAAGCCCTCAGTGGCAGGGTTGCCCAGGACCACGTCCCGAGAGCATGTGAGGGAGTTGTACAGTCCCGCACAGTATCAGTTTCCCACAATATGAGGGATTATACTAAGTGGTCTCCCTGGGTTTTGTGTTGCAATTAATTCTTTCAGATTAAAACATTTGGATTCTGGAAAGCTGCTTCACTCTGGCATTCTGCTGGGCAGAGAAAGGAGCACTGTCAGTTAAAACAGAAACTCAACCCCTTTCAATGCAGTTCCTCTCCTTTCCTATTATCAAACAAAAACACTGTGCACAAAGTATTTCCCAGGGAAAATGATGCAGAGCCTGAGGCAGAGGTATCTACGAGTTAGGCCACACAGAGTGGAAGCAAATGGGGTACAGGACACAAAGCAGTTATCAGTGAGGCAACAGTATCTGTATACACTGATTTTGACATCCCTTGGAATATATACAGATATATTAATAAATACAGATTTTTTAGGAATCACAGTACCACTGTGGTAGTGTATTTCACATCTCTGTCCACATTTCTCCCTTCATCTCTATTGTAATGATTCAATGCAAATACTCCCACTCTTTGTACATGAATACAATATATACATCTGTTCATTTGGGGGTTTTATTGTTTTGAGATTTAATGTTTAGCAGTTGGAGTAGCTTCTTATCATAAATCACTGCCATGGGACAATTCTGTAAGTGTGTTATATTTTTTAAGACCACATCCATCAATTAATACTCACTCTCTTTAAATACACCCACTTGTATTTTTAAGTAACCAGTAACTCATTTTTATGCTTGTCCATCTGGAGATACTGTACAGGGGCCAAAGAGCTGTCTTCAAAAATCAGGTTGTTTGAAAACTTCTGCAATCTTGACATGCATAGAAATAAGATTTGATCGCCTCAAAAGACATAACTTGCTCGATTTTTACAGGATATTTATGTTTTACAGGTCATATTTGTACACTGAAGTGACAGCTAGTTATGTACCAATCAACTGAAGAAAATATTCAGTCAGTTGGTATTTCTGTTTCTGGCTTGGCTTACAGGTTCCACAGCTGGATCTGAGCTGTGCAGCACCTGGGTAGACTCGTCCTAAGGTACTACTACTAAACTAAAAAATGAAATATTCAGCACCACCTGCTTCAGCTGGGTTTAAACACCATTTACATAACTTCAGCGAGTATTAAAATAGCAAATTAAAAGTAGTTACATTTGCATTATTATTTATGAGGGTTTACATTAGTTTTAAATACTGCTATGATTTTAGACAAGGTTTAACAGTAATTGGACAAATTCTCCATTTATGTTGTTACAAATGAGTAGAAATCACTATAGTTTTCATTTGTTACAGCTGGTAATGTGATCTGGTATGTTACTGTATTCATTGTTAAGTTATTTTAGTAGTACATTTCCTCCAGCATAGGTCACTTTTCTTGGGCATGGGGTTTCTTAGGGGATAGAAAGAAGTCCTTGTATGTGACCACCATTGTTCTCAAAGACTTTGAGACCCCTGACAATTTACCAGAGCATGTAGTGATAGGACAATAGTTTTAAACTAAAAGAGGGTAGGTTTAGATTGGACATAAGGAAATTATTCTTGATGATAAAGTTGGTGCAGCACTGGAATAGGTTACCCAGAGAGGTTATAGACTCCCTATCCCTGGAGGTGTTCAAGACCAGGGTGGATGGAGCTTTGAGCAATCTGGTCTAGTGGAAGGTGTCTTTGCCCATAGGAAGGGGTTGAACTAGATGATCTTCAAAGGTCCTTTCCAACCCAAACTATCCTGTGATTCCAGTTAAAAATTTTTACAGTGACACGTAAAATAATACAACAGAGATTCACACGCCTTTAGCTGTTGTACTATCTTCTACACTTTCAGGAAGCTTCATTTGTTTCTTCCAATACTAAGTGAAAGTAGCATGATCCGTTATCATCCAGCATGCTAAAACCACTTGCCTCTGTACAGTCAAGGAGTTAAATACTTCCTTTTTTGACTCAGTAGTGCCTGATACTGCACATTTAAATGACAGCCTGTGTTCTGATCGGCAGAGAATAAAAATTTATTATCCTAGTCAGAGTCAAATAACCATTAAAAAGAAACACTCTGAAAATATAATCCCCTGTTCTCCAAGTTTCTCTACATACTAATTCATGTGTATTACTACAGAGGTCTCACTTCAGTATGTTTGCTGTGTTCTTATTAGTAGAAGCTTTTACTTGGATAAAAATGCCATTAAAGGAGATTTGGACTGGGTGACCTCTAAGCTCAGTGAGCCATTAAACAAGTGACATCCTGGTAGACTTGCAGAATAATTAAAATTTAAATGCAAAGGCATATTGTCACTGCTGGATGTATGCAAATTGTTAACTGTTTATGAAATGCAAAAAAGACTGTCAATGTCACTTTATGGTTTGGATTTAACATATATACAAGTTAAGTGTTTGAATTCCCTATATTCTTCCAGTAACACATCTAAATGCTGTATATGATGTTAAAGCATTAAAGCTAAGGACAAAATTTGTCCTCAAAACATTAATTACACCAGGCAATTCTGTTAAATTCAATGAATTCAGCTGAATTTAATGAGGGTTCCTGGTGTAAATGAGGGCAGAGCTCAGTTCTAAAACACAGCATGCATGTGTCATCTGGCTAAGTGAGAAAAGCAGTGGAAAGCAGAGCCTGAATGAGCTGATTGTTGTATTCAAGTCTTAAAGCTTAATGTGCTTTAACAGAAGTTTTGCATTTAAATTTCCACTTTTATTAAAAGAGGAGCAAAGAAGCTGTACTTCAGAGATTCAGATAATTGCATTATGCACAGAGACCCTGATCCTCAGGATTTGAGCATCTATCTGCCATTTCTAATACCTAACTGCAGTTCAGGTGATAATGGCATCCCCTAACCAGCTGGTCATTTACATTTTCCTGGAGCCTCAGTTTTTGGACTGGACCGATTAAATGTTCCCCAAAAGGCATGTGCTGATGTGCCTGAGACTCTACAATAGACTTCGGCTAGTGTACGGGAAAGGATGATGATTCCTCCACCTACACCATCCTTCATGTCAGCAAGAGCACTCGTGCACAAGCTGGATGAGTTCACTGACCCGATGGAAAAACTCACCAAGCCAACAAACACCCTCTTCAGATTCATCTTCATCCTGAGGCTTTCAACAAAAGGATGTGCTCGGAATTGCCACCCTGCCTGGGTAGGCTCCTGTTTTTTCTGCACTCTAGGCCTAATATGAAGTAGACAGACAACGCTTCTCTGAAGCCTTTGTTGCAGGTGTTCTTCAAATCAGAGAGGGGGATAAGCGGGGTATAATCTGTGTGCACAGCTAAGCTACGTCTCTCTTATTTGTACATCAGCTGATGCTCTTCATGGACCACATGCGTTGTAGGTGTCCAAAAGAAGATTGCAGGATGGGTGGTACTGCCATGGCCAGTTGTATCTGGCTGTAGTGAGAAATACACATTCCCTCTCTTGCTTCAACTTGCAACCAAGAAATGTGTGAAAACAGGACTGAAGCATCAAATACAGATTTAAATGTATTTCAAGTAGGCAAGAACCACAGCAGCTAGGGCCAACTGCTCTGAGGTTGCTCAGGTAGCAACCTATATTGCTGCTGTCCTGAGCAGAGGCCAAGGAGACTAAAGATGTTAGAACAAGGTGAGTTTTATCCATTAGCTCATACCTATAATATGAGTTCAAAGGAAGATGCTATCCACCCCTTCCACCCTGCTTTCCACCCACCTAATAAAGCATTGGGGAAAAAAATTATCTTACCAGTAAGGTACCTTACAAGGTAGGAACCTGCCCAGAGTTTCTGGCATTGGAACAGCAATTCTGTAGTGCTGAATACAAACAAGCTCCAGCACTAACTTTCAGACAATGATAGCGGAAAGCTGCTTTCCCACTTAGTTCTCCCAGTGAGTTTGAGAATTACAAATTTAAGCAGTCTCATGTTCAAGAGGTGTGAAAGATGGTCACAACCCTGGTGTCAAGGAGGAAGAGGAAGGTGTGGGTGGGAGAAGGACCTAGGTGCCACCTTTCCAAACTGTTCTGTATCAACACCTGATCCTGTCCTACATTTGGGCAGTCATCTGCCGATATTTATTATGTATGAGAGTCATTAAAATTAATCCACCTGAAAGCCAGCAATAATGGCTTATAATTTTCCTACAAAGACAGAAAAAATTGGATGTTACTTGTTTGAGACACAGAAGAAAGGAGGGAGAAGGTTGCTCTTTGGCTTTGAAAAACTATCAAGACTATCAGTGCTAAACTGAAAATACTGAAGTAAAAAGCTGCAGAATAGAATTACTAGGGCTGTTTATTAATAAACAAACAAAAAATCCAACAACAAAATGATAAAAAAACAACAGAAAAAACTCCCACACAACAAAACCCCCCAAAACAAGTCCAAAAAACAAACACTATTTGCAAGGCAAGGTGTGTGAGCAAGTACTCCAGATTCTGGGACAAACTCCAGTGGCAGGCAGCAGGATTGAGCCCCAGCCCTGTGGTAGCAGCCTGTGCATAACCCAGCCACAACTTTGTGTCCCCT